GGCCACGCCCCCAGGGGCCTCCGCCCCGCCCCCGCGGGCTGGCCACGCCCCCCGCCAGTGCCGGTCCCGCCCCCCGCGGGCTGGCCCCGCCCCCGCAGTGACACAGCGGCGGTTACAGAGGGTCACTTTATTGACAGCACGAACGTTGACCTGGACGGGGACATTGTTAGAGGGAAAGAAGATTTAAAAAAAAAAAAAGTCCAGGTTTGCAGGGGGGGGGGGCCAAGAGGGGGACACTGAAATAAAACGAATGGCCCAACTCGCTACCCCCACCCCCGCCCTGTCACACATCCCCTCACATGGGGACACCGTGGAGCAGGGCTGGGGCCAGCCCCACTCGGCCTGGGGGCCCCCACAGCCCTGTGTCCCGTCCATCCCTCCTCCCCACCTCTTTGAAGGGCACCTCAGTGACAAAAGCATCTCCAGGGGACACTGGCTGACCGCAGAGGTCCAGACACACTCGTGTCCCCAGGCCAGGCCTTGGGCTGGGCACGGACAGCTCTGCAAAACATGCCAAACATTCTGTGGCAGCTGGGAATGAGGGAGGAGGAGCTATCCCTGGGGAAAAAAATCATTTATAGTTTAGGGCAAGGTCTCGGGGAGAGGGAAAGATTTTTCACAGAGTAGTGTTCCAAGCTTGGGAAAGGACTGGAGCAGTTTGCGTAAGACCCACGGCACCTCTTGTGCCCATTTGCTCTGCTGGCTCTGCTTGCTCCCCAGGGCTTCCTTCCCCTGCTCCAGGCTCCTCCACTTGGAGCTGGACACAAGCGCTCCTGGTCCTGCAGATTTCCTTGCAAAGCTGCTGGCCGCTCCAAAAGGACAGAGCTGCTCAGGAAAGGAAACCCCATCTCCCTCCCTGCCCAGGTTTCAGGCTGCAGCAAGGGCCAAGCTTCCACTGAGCTGCTCCCTGCACATCCAGCAGCAACGAATGTCAGGAAAAGCCACAGGACTCCGGGGGACCATGGTCCGTGGGACCCTTGCGCAAGGGGATAGGAATGGGCAACACAGGAACACCATGAAAATCCCCCTTCTCTCTAATTCTGCTTGCTCCCACCTTCTCCTTTGTGGCACATTGCTCAGGCTCTCAGGAAGCCCAGCCGTTAAGAGGTCAAAAATGCAGCGCCATGTAAGTGTAACAAAGCGAAAGGACGCTCCCTGCTCTTAAAAGTAAGATCATAAACTACATGCAAGTTACAAAACTCCACCAACAGCAGATAACCAAATTCTTCATAGCAAAGGCCATTAGAAAACTTAGTAAAAAAGAAAAAAAAAATCAAAAACCTGCTTCCCTTCGCCTTTCTGCTGCAAGCAGGGCAAGGAGAGGAACTGAGACAAACACTCAGCATGTCCTGGATAAGGAGAAATGTATTTGCTTTAGAGAACATCTCCTATCTCCCCATATGCTAAAACATGGAAGGAATACCTAACCATCATAAATGTAGGCCAGCTGAAGCTTTAAAAAAAAAAAAACAAAAACAAAAAAGACTTCTCATCCGGACTTCTCATCTGGAGTCAGCATCACAGAGCTAACACGGTACCCACAGAAAGTGCATCTTTAGAAAAGGAAGGTTGGGGTCACGATGCGAGAGGAAGCAAGGTGGAGACCCCCGTGCAACGGGCTAGTTGCCCCGGAAAGCCCCCTGCGCGGCCGAGGAGGCGACACCGGCCGCTGCGTTCTGGAAGCCCCTGTTGGTGAGGATGCCTTGGGAAAACTCTTCCTGGGCTCTTTGGAAGCTGGCCCCTGTGCGCCGATACAGAGAGTGCACCTGGTGAACAGAAAAGGAGAGAGTCAGCCCCGAAGTGTCCATGAAGGCCAGCGATCTTGTTGCTGCACATGTCTTGCTCGCCAACAAGAAGGGATTCCCCAGATCAGAGGGTAGCTCCAGCTCACCCAGCATACGACGCTGAAGCTTTTGGGAGACCCTCAGGCATCGCAAAATGCAGATTTCCCAGCTCAAAACTCCTATCCCCTTCTTGTGGCACAGGGACACTTAACCCCTGCATTTTGCTGGGACAAAATCTGAAAGTACCTGGACCAAGGGGATCAGGTACTCTCTTCAAGACAACTGAGAAGAGGAAGCAGGCCTAGCTCAGTCTGTCCTTGCCTCCTTCAAGGCTATCTAGATTTCTGCTGTTAAAGGCAGAAATACAACCCTCGTGTTAGCCAAAAAAAAAAAAAAAAAAAAAAAGAAGGGTGGCTTGTATTTGGGAACCAGAGGGAAGGCACTGTTTCATATCCCATCAGCTGTTAGACAGCCCCATAACGTTGTAGCGGCAGTGATTTTTAAAGTCTTGAATGCCAGAGCAAAGAAATTGCCTTTCCTGCTCAGTTAGTGCACTCAAGTCTGCCTAGATCCATAAGTTCCAAAGGGAGGTGCAAGAGACTTCACACTGAATCTATGCTTGGCCAGAGTGACATTGGGGACCTTGCCCTGGTCTTGCCTTTGAGCAACTCACCTGCTTGAGGAGAAAGAGCGAGAGAACTGCACAGAGCGTAAAGAATCCTGCCACCACCATCATGATAATGGCCACAGCCAGGTTTTGGTGCAGCTCGGACAGAGCCGCGATCCACCCGCTGAAAGAGAGGGAGAGCAACGTGAGCACGGCCCGGCCCCGAGGATGGCACGCGTGGAGACACAGGACTCGGGACAAGCATCAGATTCACTGGAATCATTCAGTGTGACCACAAAGGGACATGCTAAAAGGACAGTCAGGCCATGGGGACACCCCTGATTTCACATTCATGCATTAGGAAGCCCCTTCAAACATATCATCTACTGGAGAAGCCTTTAGAAGAGCCAGAGGATTCTCTGCCCACCCTCATCTTTTAGTCAGAAGAAGTACACTTTAAAAGCAAGTACAAGGCACACAGAAAGCATTTGCACAATGAAGATGAAGTGCATGGAGAAGCATCACTAACAGCTGTGCAAGAATCTTTGGGTCAAGGTTACAGGGAAGTGCAGAAATCAAATACAACGGCTGTGGGAACAGGGACCCAGAGCTCAGTCAGACACTTCTGCCTGGGACAGGATTTCCACCATCGTTTTGGGAAGCAATCCATCCCTACACCAAAGCACCATGCTCGCCCCACCTGCATTACAGCTCTAGCCCCCACATCATCCCACATCAGCAGGATTGGTACTCTCAAATTAAGTCACCTAAACAGACAAAACACCTTGCCAAAATTTAGCTAAGCATTGTAAAGGCAGGCTGGTACATTTGAGAATTTGAAGGGAAGCTGCTAGATCCGAAGCCTAAGATCTATGTGTGATTACGACAGCTTCGCACGGCCACGGATGCGAGTGTTGGGAGGGGGAGGAAGAGGAAGGAAGAAATAGAGCTAAGAGCTACAGAAAAAGCTCCTTAGGAACTGGCAGTTGTTGAAGCAAAGAGGAAAGGAGATTTCTGGGAATTATGGGCGCTCAGCTGTGGGTGAGAATGCCAAGACATCTCGCTTAAAACACCCTCTTGCCATTTTGAAGAGCAGAATCTGTCCAATTGCTAAATTGAGCAAACCATGTTCTGCCAGGAGAGAAGGGATCATGCAGGACAGTTTGGCTCCCTTCATTTGCTGCGCAAATTCTCGCTCATTAAAAGGAAGTGGAAACACACACTATGCATTACAGCCAAAAATAAATATCACTGGCTTGAGGAGACGAAGGAGAGAGCTCCACGCACTCTCTCCAAAGCCAGACCAAAAATGGAGTGCCCCTTCTCAGTCCCCCCAGCAAAGACAGCCAGGAAAGGAGAGCACAAGTACGAGCACAGCTTTGCCTGTGAGCCCTTCTGCAGGCAATGGGCAAAAATAGACCGCGGTTTCACTGCATTCGTCACCCGAACGCTCCCCTCAGGAACAAACCACTGTCTCACTGTTCCTCACAAGTGCTCCAGTAACTTCCCGATTTGATCCAAAGCCAATGCAGCATGGTTAAAAAAAAAAAAAGAGCCTGGGACTTCCATTGCACTGGGTAGCTCCTGACAGGAGGCCTGTTGACCCTCCTCCAGAAACCTGCGCTTACCCTTCTATACAAGCAAGGTCCATAGGAAACCCCTCTTTGCAGAGTCCTTGCTAAGGGGACTTTTCAAAGAACAAGCCCCTGGCAACACGCTATAGAAATTCAGGAAGAGCACAGCAACACCATGGAGTGGCTGGCAGCAGCGTGGAGTTCAGCTGTATCCTGTCTCTGGGTCACACATTCCTCACCTCCGTTACACACATGGCCTCCAGCAGAGGAGGCTCCGTTTTAAGACAAGGCAGACACGGTCAACACTGGAGACTCAGCATCAAAAAAAGGGTAAGAAACATTTAGGAAAAAGAATTGCTGAGAAAATATTAAGGGAAGAAAAAGACAACAGAGGAGGAGTGGAGAGCCCATACACTGCTTTCTGCACTGGCAGGCAATGGTAGTAAAGAAGGTACATGCCTTTGCTTGGACTAGGACAGGAAGAGTAGAGAAGAGAGGCACCTCAGCTGAAATCTGCCAAAGCTACGTACCAGGTGACAGAGGAAACATGGAAGAAAGAACAAGACAGCTTTCAGAATCAGAGGAGCAAAGGACCCCAAAGCTTCTGACAATCGTAGCGCTGTTGAGAAAGCAGCAGCGAGGGGCTGTGACACACTAGTCTGTTAAGTCAAGCTTACCTGTCTCCCCAGCCAGGAATGCCAACAGCCTGGATGACGTAGATTGCTATTTGGCAGAAGAAGATGAAAAAGAAGACGAAGAAGCTGAAGGAGCTGTCAGATCTGCAAGAGAGAAGGCAGCAGGAGTTAAGCCCTGGGGCATGATCTCTGTACTCATTCTCCCTTCTCTAAGGGGGAACCATTCCAGTGAACCACCTCTGCCAAGGAAAAGCTGCTAAAAGGATGGCGATTTCACGAGGAAATCATGCAGCAACACAACTTGCAACATGCCCCGTGCATATTGCAACCCCACCACTTTCCCAGTGCAAGAGAGGGGGCAAAGAACATTTCCTTAATGCATATAGCCTGCTCAGAACACTAACGTACCAAACAGTTTTCTTAAAATGAATAAAAAGTAAGACCCTATTGACTGGCTAAGCCATTATATTAAGATGAAAAGGACCACCACAGCCAAGTTCCATCAGGAATGGTTTTGATCTATTTAACAACGTCAAAAGCTGGAAAAATCCTTCAGGCGATATACAGTAGGAATAGACAAAACAAAAGCTCCTCCCACTAAAAGCTATATCTCCATTACAGAGGGAAAAAAAAAAAAAAAAAAACAGTACTTGCCTGAAAGCCTTGTAAATTGGTCGGTACCAACAGAGAAAGGCACAAGGGGTGAATAAAATAAACCACAGGATCGAGAGACCAAAATCTACTCCTCTCTCTGGCTGGACTGTGAACCATGCCAAGCAAGCAAGCAGGTTTAGGACCAGGGTAACCGAGTGCACTGTTCAGGATGGGAGAAAGGAGAAACATTAGAAAATCATGGGAAATTCACAGAAATCTACCAAGCATCCCTAATTTCTCACTGAACACAGAGCTCTACAGATACTGGAGAGCGTTTCAGCCATCTAATTTCCCTCCTTCACTTGGAAGAAGGTTGGAGCTTAACATAACAACCTCATCTGATCCTGCTATATACACCCAGCTCTTAAATCTTTGCAGAACATAAAAATTGACAGCAATCTTTTACTCCTGGAGACAACATCTACCGAATTTACTTTAGTGCAAAATCCAGTACACGACACAGAACCTTCTTAGAAAAGGACTTTTGTTGCAGTCGTAAGTTGCTACTTACACATCCACAAGTAATACAGCATCTTGCATACTCTCTGGTAGTCAGCTGGGATGTCTGCAGAGAAATCCTGATAAAAGCATGGCTTGATCGGACACTTTTTGGGAAGAGGTGGCCAATTATTTTGTCTTGCTGCAAAAAGGAAAAAAAAGGAGCAATTCTGAGAGTCTTCTCTCTTCTGACAGACTCACTGGCATGCCAAAATTTACAAGTAGCAGTTCACATATACTGACATTGAAATCTTGGAAGATGCTAGGTAGATGCTAGGTTTGTGCTGGTGACCAAGAAGGGTTGTTTTACCTCTGCTAGAATCAGCAAGACAGGGCAGCCTAGTTTCTGAAGGTTTGCCTCTGCGGGAGGCAGAATTTCCCTGCCATGGTCAAACAACTGTCACAAACATCAAGTCCAGAGCCCATGTCAAGCTCTGCAGCAACACATATCTAAAAAGAGCAGCTTTAGCAGTCTCTATCTACTTCTCTCAAGTAAGGAAAAAAACTGGGGACAAGCTGCACATAGTGATCGACTGCCTCACTATGCTCTGAGCAGACACTCAGAGGAGGGGCACAGAACAGCTCATGCAAGAAACAGCAATGAATATGGCAAAGGCAGGTGCTCAGGTTCAGAAATGTCAGGACTCAGTGACGTCTCTGACTGCCAGATATGTAAGAAGGGGCCTTTTCTCTCCTCCCCTACTTTGCCTCCGGTGGAGAGTTAAAGAAAATTTCAACTTCAGTGATTCAACTACTTGAAACCAAGGGTAAAGAAAAAATACACTCTATTGCCCTGGTTAAGACAGCCTTGAGACAGTTTGTTAAAGTTCTATTGCCCTCATACACTGAGCCCAAACTGTGATTAATTTAATTTTGCTACAGGGCCAGTACAGGGATTCCCATTCACGTCCCAGAAGATATTGGGTTTTGCTTGGATGGTCTGAAAGTAAGCTCAGTCTGTGGCAGGCATCCAAAACACAGAGCCCTTAGCCATTTTCCACAATAAAAAATAAAAGGCTTCAAGTCTAGCAAAAAGCATCAGGTTCTCATAGCATAAAGAGCCCTCTACAGGGAAGTGCACTGAGTACTCTGCATATCAGTGAAGAGTCTTAACATGGCCTATTAAGATTTTTCTTAATAGGTAACCACATTAAAACACAGGTAGAGTCCCAAGAAGGTTGTCACAGGTGTGATGGACAAGACAGAAACACATCTTGTAAAAAGGTGATACATGCAGGGACAAATATATTCAAAAATGAATATATTTGGATATGCTGAGCCCTCAAATCTGCTCCCAACAGACACTGCACTGACAAAGCAACAAGTGACCCGGGCTCCCCAGGGCACCATGCTTACTGCAGACGGGGCATGAAACACTACTTACGATTGATGCCAGATGCATGATTTTGCAATTCCCTTTCCTTCTTCTCCAGCTCAGCTGCCTTCCTCTCTAATTCTGCCTGCTGCTGAAGGAGTCCAGCCTGAGCAGCTGCAGCCACAGCCTAAAACAGGGGGAGAAAAAGGTAAGCGTTTCCCTAACCAAGTCAGGAATATGACCGCCAGCAAACACTCTAGATGCCAAATGGGAATGTGGGTAGAGGCAATTCTACAGCAAAGACTGTGGACAGTTAGAAAGCTAAACTCTTGTGGCTGCCTTACCTGCTAGAGAAGGCTTAATTAAGCTCAATGCAGAATTCCAGGCATTCCTTTCTTATCCCACAGGAAGCTAGCACTCAAAGAGCCCTCAAGATGTTATCTGATCTGTGGCTCATCCCCCATGCCCTTCCCTTTCAGCACATGCATATCCTCCCTTGCAGATTCTTCTGCTCCTAGTTAGCCTCATTGTTATAAGTGACTTCCAATACCTCACTCACATCTTCCACTTCAGGGCACTTACCTCCTCATCCTCTTATCAATTCCTGGAAGAGGATATCACACCTGCAGACTGCTATCAAAGCCTTGCAGGTGCCTCTAGATCAGCCTTAACACCCTAGATCTCTTTATTCTCCCTCTCCCTGGCCCACACTTCAGCTTTCCTTGTTTCTGACAAAGCATTCATCCTCCAGGTTTTGGATTCACCTTTACCTTTTTTTGGTCCCTCACACACCGTGTGGCCTTCAAGGAGATCCTTTAAAGGTTTTGGATTCACCTTTACCTTTTTTGGTCCCTCACACACCATGTGGCTTTCAAGGAGATCCTTTAATCTCCCAGAGCCAGCTGAAAAATCTAGTAGTATTATTCCTCCCCAGCAGAGGGAGGAAGTGAGACAAGGAAGGGACTCTGTTTTGCCTAGCAATGAGAACTGCTGGACTGCTGGGAATCCACACTAGATGGAGGAATTTGGAGCTGCTGATTTAGCTCTCAAGTAATAGCAATCTTAAGATTGCTATGTGGAGTGAGGAAATACAGAGCCAGGGGAGAAAAGTCTCATTTCTCATTTGAGATCTTCACCTCAGAGTCACCTGTTTGAGCTTGCAAGGCATGCAAGACCACACAGGGCACACTAGAACCACCCTGTCTGCTCTTAGACTGAACAGTAGCATTCAGAAGCCACTCTACAATACACAGTTGGCTGTGGCCTCAAGGAAACAGGGCAAGTGACTCCTTACAACACAAAGCAGTGAACAGGACTCCTGAGTTTACCAAGGGAATCCCTTTCCCAGTGAGGGGAAGAGGTTCAAAGGAAAGACAAGGCAGCACTTCCTCTTCTTTTTATACCACATATTCTTCCCTTGGATCTCTTTTACCTGCTTGCTATTCTGAGAACTGAAGCTTTCTCCTAGCAGCCTCTGCTTCTCTGAGTTGTCTTTGGATGAGGCGATCCTGGGGCTCAGGTACTTGCTGGCCTGTCTAAGCAGCAGCTGCAACATATAACTAGTCTGCATTTACACTCCTGCAAGTGTGTCAGACCAGCCACTGGAACTACACTAAAAGCGTTAACAGGTTACATTTTAGGTAGCGTTGGCAGAGGGAAGCCAGGACAAACAGAACACAAGGTTAAGTTAGTTCTGCCACCAGAGGTACAGGAAAAAGCTAAATTACATTATATATTGCCCACAGATCTACTGCATAAGGTATATAAAAATGGAAGCCAGTGTGATCACCTGCTGCTTCCCCCACACAAACCCAGACAAACTCACGTTCCTTCTTATTCCCACAAGCATTTAGGAAAGGCAGATGAGATCTCCTCCACAATCACCAGCCCAGCTCTTTGGGAAGGGGACAGCAAAGGGGGTTGCCATACCTGTGGAGTGGGTTCCACAGACGTCTGCAGAACAGCAGGTTGCGAGGGGCCAGAGGGCTGCGTCGCAGGCGTCGTCTGTGCTGCATTTGTCTGGGTACAGGCAAACCAAGAATGACGAGAGAAAACATGACATGTTGTTTCTACCAGCAAAGAAATGTTAAATTCCAGCACTGCTAAGGCTGTAAGCACAGGGACCAAATAGCAGGAGGGAATTCTATACTTTCTGGAACGTGTTAGTTCCTCAATGCCCTAGAGAAAGGGCAGAAGGTTACAGGTATTAGCAAAAGAGTAACAAGAGGTTTTGACAGTTGTTTAAACTGCAAATCTTGTTGTGTGCCCGTTTCTTGTTCAGCTCCCAGCCCACAGACCAAATCATTATTGACATTTCCTGCCACAAAGCATCTCCTCCTTCACACTCACATGGCTTTCCTACGAGCCAGTGCAACCAGCACGAGTTGGAGAGAAACTGTTCCATGTGACCGGAGAACTCCAGGTGGGAATTCGAGTGCTTGAGTGTCAGAGCTCTCACTTGCACACTTGCAGCTTGCCACACATGCAATGAGCTACTGTCCATGGGGAAATTAGCTGCAAGAGCCTCATTCTTCTTCTTCCCCCCCGCCGCCCCTCCTCTTTTAAGCTGCACCTACCAAGGGACCTTCTAGACTGCTAAACCCACTGCTGAGGTAACTAGGGCAAACATGCACCACACGTACCAGCTGGGAGCTCTCAGAAAAGGGGTTGAATTCATCCAAGCCACCTTGGTTAGCATTTGTCAGCTGTGTCACCGAGGGATCCTGGAAGAAGAGAGATTAAAGACAGGTCAGTATCAGATGTGAGTGATCATGAGCTTACACATTACCTGCTCTGCCTCTCTTTCCTCCACTGTAAGAGGACGAAGGACACAAGAGCACATCTGATTTTTCCCTGGGAACAGAAGAACCAAGATAAAATACATCCCTGCCACAGGCAGATAACCTTAACTGGCAACACCTCTAGACTCGGTGGGGAAAGACGCCGGTTCATTTGTGCATGCACTAAACCCAAGAGGACCCAGAATCTCCTTGGTGGAAAGATGAATTGAGGACAGCAGCCCTTGAATACTTCCCATCTTTCGGCTCCCCCAGCAAGGCAGAGTCTCAATGATTTTCCTTCTGTACACAGGGACCCAAGCACTGCAAAGTTAACTATGTGTGCCTCAAGGCACATGTTCTTTCAGGCAGGCACTCTGGGTCTTGCTCAATCAGGACACCACTTCTGCAGGGTACAACAACTCGCTTTGACCACGTAACGCAGTGGCTTTTACCAACTGGCATCTGAAAACTGCTTCCACCTCCCAAACCTCATTTGCACCTCAGAACACGAGGCCCCTCCAAGCACAGCAGGGAATCACAATACACACTTCAAATACAAGCAGCCTTTGCAATGGCCAAGCTGTCACCAAGGGCATTGGGACTAGCCAGCTTTCTGGAGCAGTTGTTGGCAACACAGCTATAAAAAATGAGGTAGAGCTGTCACTTCAACTGCTTTAGTAGGTTTTAGCCTGGCTGACTTGCTGACACATCAGCTGTGCTCCCTTGTACTCATACCACCTCCTGCATCAAACTTCTACCAAAAGTGCCTTTCCTCTCTCTCCTGCAATGTGATTAACTACTTTATAACTTTTACACACGTTTAAATAAATAAAAAGTGACTTGTTATTCCTCCCTCCTGCAGCAACTAAGGTCTTGTGCTCAGTCACTCCAGTCCTGTGGTTAATGGGCTGAGAAGCGATTGCAGGCTGAGACAGGGGCAGAGTGAGGAATTCAGGCCTGCTAAAGCTGCAGGCACTCCAGGAAAGCCAGCAGGCTCCAAACGAGACCCAAGCAGAAGAGTTAATGAGTAACTTCACCCATCTCTCCATACAGGGCACTCCCAAGGCAACAGGCTGCACCAGCTCATGAATCACCCTGGGACAAGGACTCGCAAAGGAGGGGAGGCTGCTGATGCTGCTTGAGGAAGACCAAATCCCTGGCCAGGCAAGGCTGTAAAAAGTGGAGGGCAGCAGCAGGACCAGCATCCTGGAAATAAGGACCTCAAGACTCAAGGCACATGTTTTACTGCGCTTAACCTTTTACACCCACCGGAGGTTTTAGCTTGGCCTGTTTAGTTGGTGCTGAAGACAGCTTCCAACACAAGCTCTTGTACAGCTAAGAAGGGGAAAGGGGCTCATAAATAGAGAGAAAAACCTAGGAAAATGCATTTTTTTCTTTCCGTCACCATCTCAATGCAAAAAGGAGGTCCCTAAGCCCCCACGAGGCTCAGCAGCACCACGCTGCCCATCACAAGGGCACGATGCCAGCACCCGCAGCGGGGCAGGGAACGGTGCTGCCCTGAGGTAACAGCTAGAATAGGAAGATCAACTTTGCTGTTTTATAGAACAGTTGCAGAAGGATCTGATTTTAAAGGGAGATTGCCTCTAATCTTGGTCCATTATTCAAAAGATATGTGTTAAATTAGCCAGTGCTGTCAAGCAAGGACAGCTCAACTTAGCTTACATGTTGTTATGCAAGTATGTCTAAAATAAAGATATACAAAGCATGGGGAATCTGCAGTGAAGCTGAAGTGTGCTTGGACAGATTTTTGTACCCTCGAAAGTGCAAGAAGGAAAACAGCAGCTGTTTCTATAGAGACATCAGCCTAGAGGATAAATAAGCATGCAAAACAGGGGAGCTTTGCAGATAAATGAGAAGTTACCCACCAGCTTCACACTTCAGGTTATTTTTGCAAACTAAAAGCAGCAGAGACCTGACCCTCTTGCAAACCAGCACACGCTGATTTTAAGCGCTGCGAAGAGGGGAGGTTTGGGGACTGAATGAAACCATATTTTCTGTCTTCCAGGGATGCACCCTACCTGGCAGGGCCTTCCCATAAGGAAGCAATCAGTCCTTTCTTTTAAAGGCTCTAACTTGCTAGGACACCCAGTTAAACCTGCAACAATTGCTCTCAACTTGGTCCCCACTTTATTTCAGAGCTAAGCTCAAGTATCTGAAAGCTCTTTTACTTCTGTACCTCTTCTATTTGATTTAACAAGTGCATCTATGCTCAAACTTAGTGCCATTTCTCCTCAAAGACTCCAATATGAGACTGATCTTTAGCAGTGCCACATTTGTCACTTTTCTCAACACTGCTTCTACAACCAGCACATGTGATGTCATTCTGCAGACTAAGCAAGCCCAGGATAAGCTCAGGCTTGGACCAAACAAACACAAATTAAAGAATTAAACCTTTGATCTGCTTTCAAATGCAGCATTCAACACAATGTTTGCTGTAGCAGGGCACCAGCTGATGGACCTAGCAAAAGGTTTTGAGCGCCCAGGTTTGTGCAAGAAAGGAGATTCTTCTACTCCTTTCTGCTCCCACGGGTAATATAAAGCACTTTTAGGGCTTGAGATGAAGGCACAAGAGCTCAAACAAGAAGCATTTGAAGTTTAACACAGTTATTCAAATATCACAGTAATCACCCAAACAAGTCTGTCCCGTAGCGCCGCTGTGAAACACAGTCGGCCGCAAGCTTGGTGCCTGCGGTGGATCTCAGGGCATTGCCGTTCGCCAAGATGTGCACAAAAAAAAAAAAAAAACTTTAAACTTTAAAAGACTTTATCACCTGCAGTTTTAAAGATGGAAACTACCTGAAATGCATATCCGAAGTCTCAAAGACAGCGGGGACATCTGCCATTTCCAGCAGGTTAGAGTGCAAATGAAGGTATTAATCATCCATCCTTACCAAGGTGGAATACATCACAGGGAAAAAATGTATTTTTAATGAGACTGAAACAGCTTGTTTCACATCAAGCTCATCAACCACTGAACAAGACGTACTTAAGAGGCAGATTTCCCTATTTCCATTTGGATTTGCAGATCATAGAGTGCATCTAGCACCTGCTACAAGGAAAAGACAGCCCTGGTGCTCACATCCCAAAGGTAAATACTGGCGTGGCGGAAGCTGAAGATTCTTCAGACCAGGCTGGTGATAAGGGGCAATTCTTTAAAAAAACAGCAGTGGCAAACGGGAAACCTTACAGGAGACTCAGACTGCACAGAAGAAAAGAGGAAAAACAAACAGGAGACTGAACAAGCAGCTGCGACCACAAAGCGGCTCGACAGCAGCGGCGGCATCCGCGGCGCAGCTTCCGTGTACCCGGGAGTGTCGCCGGGTGGGGAGCAGCAATAAATCCCCACAGGGACCGCGGCTGCGCATGGAAAAGAGAGGGAAAAGCCAGGGAAAAACTGGGATTTGGGAAGGAGGGGGGGAGCAGGCCATGGCGGGGGGACCCCCCCACGCCCCCCAGCCCCCCCCCCCCCCCCCGCTT